AGGGTGAGCTGTACTAGAGTGAGCTGGAATACACCCACAGCAAAGCTAATTAAATTTTGGCTCAGAGAACAGGAGGGGATTGTTATGATTTAATGGCGAGATTGTCATAGATGCAAAACCACCAGGAATATAAGTCTCTGCTCTCCCATCTATCAAAACCATGCTGTTGTGTGAGTTACAAGGCTCTGTTGCACTTGCTGCTACGAAGTATTTTCTTCCCTTATTTGTTTGCAGCTGGAGGAAGAATTTCTGAAAGGAAAAAAATAAAATTTAAGCTTTCCTCTAGTTTGCAGGATTTGAAGCCTGGTTCTGCAGGACTGAAGTCAAGACAGGTGCTTAGGTACCATGTGGCAAGTTGGGGAGGATTGGAAATTTCAGTTAGTATTGGTTATAGCCATACCCAAACAATCTGTGTTGAAAGTAATTTTTTTTAAGAGATGTTTTAAAGAGGTTTGTGGAAAATCTTTCCAAACTTGCCCATAAGTCCTTCAAGATAAAAACTTACAGTTTGTATTAATTAAGCATAAATTACATTTTATTAACTCTGGAGTATATTTTTTCCAGGTAATGGTAGGAGTGTAGGACACTGAGAGGAGCATTAGTAAAACTGTTACCTAGTAATTGTTTTCAAAGCAAATCAAGTTTGTAAAGGTAGGTGCCAGAGTCTGGTCTGTAGAAAGTTTTTCTTGTTTCAGAAAACTCAGATATGTCACCTGATTTGCTGCAAGGTTTTGAGTGGAGGCTGGGGAACTGTCAGTAGTGTTTTATTGGGACTTAGCCCATTCCATTTTTGAAAATTTTTGTAGACTAAGAGGATATTCTGTATTTTAAGTGACTCCAAACTACTGCATACAATTTTGTTAGAATAGTGGAAGTGACAGAAAAACAAAATGAATATGGAATTTCAGACCTTGAAGCCAAACAGAAGAAAATAAGATCCATTTAATTATAAAATTCACCTCCTCAATATAGGAAGTCCTTGGTAAGCAAACCTTATCCTAAGAAAGCAAACCTTAAATGCATAAGCATATTTTTACTGTGACTTCTCAATATTTTTGAAATTGTCTACCATTTTGTCCATATTTAGGGTTGGGGTTTTTTTCAGTTTTCTTTTCTCATATATCATTGATGAGAGACCCAAGCACTGTTTTGTAGAAATGAGTTGTAAAAGCAGTCATGGAAGATATTTTTAAGAAATCTTGTGGTATGGAAATGTGCATTATTTATGTAGTTTTTCTAGAATTCTTTCCACTTTGCATCCAGTACTGTTTCACTTTGTGTGTTCTCTCAATTTGAAATTATACAGGGAACAAGCACTACCAAGTCCCAAGTGTGATTCAGTCCCTAGGAGAGCAAAATAAGCAGTAAGATAATTTATGAGTAGGTGATACTTATTTACAGCAAAAAGTTAACACCTGGTTTGGCAATTTTCTTTCTTTTGCAGCCACAAGAGATGTTTAAAAGGATGGTGGTTTACAATTCATCATTTAGATCTAAGAAAAAACAAGTAAAATAACGTTTTCCGTGTTTTGTGTGGTACTTCTTGTTTGACTGAACATAGATTTAAAACTTTCCTTTCTAATTCTGTTTCTCAGTTTCTAAAACAGAAGATGCAAGACAGGCCTAGTGCATGAGTACTGCTGGTCTTTTTAAGCTTTAAGTGTGTGCCTGTGGCTCCAGCTAGGCTAGGCAGAAGAAGGAGAATAAATCCTTAAGGCTGGACCATCTGTAACTCCCGTTATGGTTAAGTGCAACCTTTAAGATAGTTGAATACTGATAACTGATCTGATACTGATATTCCTAAGATTTCCTTGTTTCTTTTAGTGTCCAGCTGCAATGCTTTCAGTGATAAAATAATTTATCAGATTAGCAAATAGAGCTATCATCATAACATAATTACTGGGAGGAGGTTAGAGGAACTGGTGGTGGAAAGCCTTGTTCATTCAGCCTTCCTGTATAGTGTAGCATTTTCCTGCTGTGTTTTTGCTTTTGTTGCTTTCCTCTGTCATGAAGTTTTCATCTCTTCATCTTTGGTTACCTGGTGGTTCAATAGATGGCTTCTTGAAGAGGTAAACTTCAGGCTGAACTTCTCTACTACTGTAAAATGTGCCAGTTTCTGTACAAACCCCCTCTGGTAGTGCATGCTAAGTTATATGCATTGACATTATCTGAAAAGTTGGGACACAGTATTGAGCTCACAGTGTGAGATTTTGAGTGGAAAAACATGAAGATTAATAATTATTTTTTCTTTTTTTTAATCAGTTTCAATCTATATCTAGAAGGGATAACTGACCAAGAAAGATCCAGCTTTGAGATTATTTATTTGCCAGTAAATGCCAGTATGTTCTGAATATATAACAATTGTATTCTCAAAAGAGGTGTTTTTTTGACAAGTTTGTTATTTCTCGTCTTGAGTTTCTCTTTCAATTATGTGTTGTTGTTGCTTGGGGTTTGTTTGTTTGTTTGTGGTTTGCTGTTGTTATTTCTGGTCTCAATTGCTCTTGACTATTGTTGTTAGAAACCAGTGAAGCAGTACCATTAGTATAAGTGGTTGTGTTTTGGAGGTTGCTTTTTCTTTAAATATCAGCTTCATCTTTCACCTCAAAGTCCAGACAGAGTTGTTTCAGTGCAATCAAATATTTTACTGTTCCATTTTCAACTTATGCTCAGTCCTCTGAATGTTTTTGTAAGTCAAAAGGGGATTTAAATGCTCCTAACTCTTTCACCTGAAACATCCTGAGTGGTGTGAGAATAGGCTTAGGACTGTGCTTTCCACTTGGTTTTCCTTGGTTCATTCATCCTTGCTTGCATATGGAGTGCACTCTCTGATCTCTGAATTTGTGGTGTCCATTTCAGGGAAGATTTATTACAGTTCAGTGCAATGTCTTTTTTCTGTCTTAGCAATATTTGTACATTATTGGATCCAGATCATTTCTCTGATACATAGTGACATGAACCCAAGGGGAGAGCAGTTTAGGTTGAGTATTAGGAAATGGTTTTTCACCCACAGGGTGGTTGGGCACTGGAAGAGGCTCGCAGAGGCACGAGACTGACAGCTCAAGAAGTGTTTGGACTGTGCCCTCTGGTGCATGGTGTCACTCTGTGTAGGCCAGGAGTTGGACTTGGTGATCCTTGTGGGCTCCTTCCCACTCAGGATATTCTGTGTTTCTGTGACTTTTTCTTGCAGATTGTTTTTTAGTGATTTTTTAAATTTTATTTTGTGTGTTTGTTTTTGTGGAGTTTTTTGTGTTTTTTCCTGTTTAAAGATTATTTTCCCAGGGAAACTTCCTTCAAGGGCAACATCTGTTTTTCATGAGGGCAACCTGGGACAAAGAGTTCACTGACTTCTTTTAGATTACATAATGACTTAGTGACTTGGCTAAGATTGGAGTTGTCTTCTCTAAATTACTTGCTCCAAATCCATAGCTATCTACTTTAGCCATGATTCCAAAAGGCAGTACTAATTCATTTATTCCAAGTATTAATTGTTTGGGTAGCTTTCATTGTAAAATACTTCTCTTACAGTTTTAGTTAAATGGTTCATAATATTATTACACTTCATAAATTAATGAATGATTGATTGAAGTTTTTCCCCCCAGGATGAAATTCCGTCCTTGCTGATGTCTGTGATGAAATTCCCATTTATCTGGTTAACAAATGTAATGCAGTGTAACAAACTTAATGTAAGGCAGTGCTGTTATGGGTGAGGTCAGAGCCCAGAAGGTTCATAGTGACATCAAAATTAGGAAGCCAGAGGAGGTGATCAAGAGTATAGCAGAGGAAGCACTAGTATTTTCTGCTGCAACTTTGCCATTTAACAGCCAGCCCTTAAATACACCAAAGGAATCTTAAGCTTTGTGTTTGGTTTACAAGTGGAAAGAGGCTTAGGTGAGTCTGGCAGTGGAATAGTCTTTGCTGTCAAATGGATCTAATTGAAAAGAGACAATAATGAATTTATTAACCTTTATCATGCACTGAACCACTGGTCTGTGTAAGGTATTGGCTTGCCTGCCATGTCTGCAAATGGTTGTGTGGTTCTGTGTTCCCCTGTCCCCAGCTCACTGCAGCTCCCACGAGAGTGGGAGCTGGGTGCCTCAGTAAAGATTTTCTTAAGTTCTGAAGTCCTTGCTTTAGCATGCAGGGTTAAGTGAAAGCTTTCATAAATCCCCAGCACAGGCCATACAGACTCACCCAGTAGCTACTAGTCCTTCTCAAGAAACTGCACTCAAACACCACTGACTCCTGATTGCTGGTGCAAGAACTCCCATCCTTGCAGAACAGGTAACTCCTGCTTTTCCCTGCAGTCTTGGTCTGACAAGGGTTAAGCACTACATTTTGTGAGTCCCCTCAAAGTTTAAAAATACTACAGTATTATCTTCTGCATTTCAGACATTTCCTGACAAAACTTTTAAGTTCTCCACAGAACTATATGAAAACAAAAATCATATTGTTGTCCTGCAAATTGTCTAACAAATTGTTGTCCTGCACTTGCCTGTGGTATGAAGCCAACTCCCTGAAACTCAACATCAAGAGGGAGAGAAGGGGGCTGAAAAAGAATCCTAAAACCCAGACAGAGTGGAGTAGTGTTGCTGACTACTGTGAATTGGAGCCTGTCATTTTCACCTGTTACCATTCAACATGTTGATAATCCCAGGAAATGTTGCTCCAAACAGTGTGGCAGAGCATACCTGCTCATGGTGCTTTCAAGATTTGTTTGTTCTGTCAGGTGTAGAGAGGAACTATGGAGCTCATAAGTGGTAACTCTTCCTCAGAAATGCTTCATTATGTGACCAACTCAAATTATTGATCTGTCATGAGGTTTTGAAATGTCTTCTGACTGTCAGGATGGACTCTTTGCTGTCTCTCTGGACTTTTCTTCCGTTTCTGTCTTCTTTCATAGCTTACAGAATTACATGTTCTCTCACTAATAAATAAAATGGAATTTCTGTGTTAAGTGTGTGAGTTGCTAGTTTTGCAATTAAATATCATTTTATTCTCAGGGCTTCCAGAAGTATGTGGAAGATTTTGATCCATATTCAATGGTAAGGAGAGAATTTAAGCATGCCTCATTGTTTAATATGAAATACTCTTGAAAAAAGCCAAATCCTTGATTTTGAAGGCTAGGAGTAGGTAAGATTCTTGCTTGTTGCTTTTCTGGGTCTTGTGTATTTGTTTTTTCTGGTCGTGTTGAACAGAAGCATTCTTGCAGAAAAAGGTGATGTGGTGTTCTGATCTCCGTCTAACACTATTTTAGAAGGGGGAAAGTTCCCTTTACCCCCAGAAATTACATAGATCAGCTTAATTGTTTTGTCTTGCCAAAGTGGAAATGATTAATCATTATATCTTTTCACAGTTTACCCCAGACCAGATTATAGGAAAAGATGTACGGCTATTACGAATAAAAAAGGTAATTACTGTGTTGATTGATTGATATTTAAAGAGTTCATGTAAGGATTTGATGTACAGCATCATTTACTAGGAAGAAGGAAAGATTAAGCTCCTGTTAATGGCAAAAATAAACAGACTTTTCTGAACTAGAACTGTTTTTTTTCATAGGAAGGATCACTGGACCTTGCAGTCGAGGGAGGAATTGATTCTCCAATTGGAAAGATAGTTGTGTCTGCCATCTACGAGGACGGTGCTGCAGACAAACATGGTGAGCAACAATGGGGAATTTGAATGCTGCTGAAAAGTGTTCCCTTAGACTGGCTGAGAATGGTTGGCTGATTGCATTGCCTGGTACTGAAAGGCTCACTTAGTTTTCCCAAGGACCCAAGTTCTGTCTCAAGTTTAGGGGCAGCCCACATGTGTTGCTAAAATTAAGTTATGTAAAATTTGTAAAAACCAACACCTGATTCTCTGGTGTGTTCTTTAGTCAAGGAATGTGTTCTCCATTATTTCACAAATTCTAATGACATTTTTAACACTTCCACATGCAAAACAATTACCTGACCATAGCTACACTGTGCTGCTTAGTTTTGTTCTTTATGCTACTATAAATAGTAATTTGCTAGTTAAGTTGCTGGCTGTTAAAAACCCAACTGAAACCCAACTTGAGCCTCTGAAGCTTAGCTCTTGAAGGCACAAGAACATGCTCACCACCTCATGTGGGCTTTGCACCTGGTGGGAACTATCTGCCATCCTTTTCTTGAGAGCTCTTGTGATGACCAGGTCAACAGAGAGGGCAGTATTCCCTTACACTGTCTTTGCTGTCCTTGTCCCAGCCTGCACCTAAGTTCAAGTAAAAACATTGCTGTGAAAACATTTCAGTCATTTGATGTCCTCAGTGCACTTTTTGGCCCTTCACTCTTTTTCGGATCTCTCATAACTAAGGCTGTCCTCTTATCATCCTCTTCAAATCCAGTTCTAGTTAACTGGTTTTGCTTCATTTCAGATTGGCAAGTCAAAAGCAGTCCTAAGGAGCAAACGCTACACATAGACTGGCAAAGAAATGACCATCATGCAAACCCTTGATAAATGCCATTTTATTCCTTCAGGAATTTAATTAATTTTGTCATTTTTATGGACTCATGGAATTTTTGGGTTGGAAGAGGTCTTACAGATGATCTAATTCCAAGCCCCTGCCATGGGCTGGGACACCTCACCCTAGACCAGGTTGCTCAAAAGCTCATCCAACCTGGCCTGGAACATTTCCCCAGGGTTGGGGCATAGTAGTAACATTCTGCAGGCAGTCATAGTTTGTTAGCTATATAGCTGGATTACCCAAATAGGCAAACTGTAGAAAATCATATTGAACTAGTTTCTTACTGGTCATTATCAATAAAAGATTAGTTTGGCTTTGGCATGCTTAAAAATTCCTGTTGTGTTTGCCTGTGCCAGACTTCCTACAGTTTTTAGTGCAGACTTTGCATCCAGTGAGAACACTTTTCATTACAGTCACTACTGCACAATTATGGCACAGAAAAGGCCCCTAGAATTTTTTTTTGCTTATGTGTATTTGACACATTTGTCTTTTCCCCAGGAGGCATAGTGAAAGGGGATGAAATACTGGCTGTAAATGGCAAGATATTAATTGACAGCAAGCTGGCAGAAGCACAGGCAACTCTAGCAAAAGCTTGGAACATGGGTGGGGTAAGTAACCTGGAATGCTACTTCATTCTACCCACAGAGCTCATATCAGAGCTACTTCTCTATCATGACATTGTCACATCAATACAAACAAGGTTACAAACATGAAAAGTAGTGGGTACGTGAGGTACTCCCAAAGTAAGCTAAAATCTGCAGAAGATGCTGGTATGTAGCATCTTTGAAAACCATGTGTGTAATTTACTGCGGAATTTGATGGTGTTTAGCCACATGTCAAGGTTGATATTTAAACACATAACATTCCTTGTGTTTCTAGTACCTTTACATGTAAAATCACTCTTTGATATTGAAAATTACTTGCAAGTTGATTGCAATTTTCTGATAATAGCTTGTCTTTGTTTTCTTGATGTACAAGCAGCATTACCCTTCAGCTACAGTGAGTGTTTCCACAGCAAGAAATCTTCTCATTGCTCAGAGGACCAATACAGGATGATTGTTAAAATAACTTTTTTTAAAAATGTTGTTGCAACAGTAGATTTTTCTTTAATTTCAAGATACAAATCAAACAGCTCAATCTTTAAATGGTGTTCCAATAGAAGTTTTTAATACAGACCTTACTTCTTCTCCCTGTGGTTTTCCAGGAATGGATTACCTCGTAGATTCTCTGACATTCCATGGTGGTGCACTGGCCACCTCTAAAAGCAGTATTTAGTGGCAGATGTTTACCTCTGCTTTTCTTTTTCAGGATTGGATTGACTTAGTCATTGCAGCATCACCTCCAAAAGAATATGATGATGAAATGTAAGTGCATAAGCTTTTATCTCTGGGGATTAAAAGCTGAGTAACAATAGCCAGTTTGCTTTTTTTGTCACACATTTTTCAATTATCTTCTTCTTCTTATGGACTATATAACCTCCTGCATTACATGGTTGCTAATTTGATAGTTATAAGTAGATGTCATGCATTACAGCAGTGGTTCCCAGACTGCAAAACTGTAATTCTCAGAATTGGTTGTATGTGACTACACACTCATACTTTAAACTTAAAGTTTGGGGATTTGGGGTTTGTTTTTTCTTTAGAAGTTCACTTAAATTCAGTCTGAGTCATTTACTACATTCCCATAGATCATAATTTAGGGAAACACATCCCTGTAAACATTCTGCATCACAACCAGACATTTAATTCTATTGTTTAGTTTGGTTTTGTTGTGTTTTTTTTTTTTTAATTAGATTGCAGTTATTGTTCTTGTCTAAGCAAGCATATATAATATTTTCAGAAGAGATTAAGGGGTTTGGGTGTCTTGCAATGCTCACAGGATCCTTGTTTTAAAGATAATCAGCACAGGTGTGAAACAGAAGAATCTACAGCTACAAGTGTGTTGGAAGTATCAGGACTATACAGCTTGTTTTACTTTGGACAGTTTCAAAAGCAAGACCATGCTTTCTAGTTTGATTGAAGGAAATTTGAAGATATCCTTACTACCAAGTAAGATAGCAGAGCAAGGTTTTGTAGTCACTGTTAACCTGGGCTCTTGCTCTATGTGGAGTACTGGAGTTTTAGTTGCTGTAAATCAGTTTTACTGCCTAACACCAACTGTAGATTGATGTGAAATTTTGTTTAATACCTGTGCATAAACTAACGGGCAAGGAAATAACTATTATTTTTGGTTTTATATTTTGTATATTTAGCCCTACCATTCCCTCATCAGCAGTCAGTCCCAGCACACACAGAAAGGTTTTTGAAGGCAGTGCACCTGTGTACAGACAAGGGTATCTCCTGCAGCTGTAGCCACTGCAGTGTCCCTCATGGTGAATAGCACACCTGGCTTAACATGACTGGCCATTGTGAGGCTGTGTTATTTTTTCAGCATGTGCCTGCCTGTGCATTGCTTGCCATCCTTGCTTTTGTTCCTGGCATGCTGGAGCTGGAGTGTTCTTTGGGCTTTTGCCATGCCTGTGCTATTAAAATATAAGTATTTAGTTTCTACTTTGTGAAGTCCCTCAGAGATCCTCTGCAGAATTGGTTTATCACCTGCCAGACTATTAAATAAACAGGCCCTTTCTAAACAAGTAGGATTAACCTAAGGTTTTGTTCCTTATCTGTGGACCACTGCTGTGGCTTTGTGAGTTCATCAGTATATAAGCAACTATAAATTATTTTCTTGTGAAGGCTTGTCCAAAGAACAAGTTTCCATTTGGATTATTCACAGTGTGCCTGTAAACAAGTATTCAAGAGTGTTTGGTTTCAGTGAAGTTTGTCTCTGTTATTTTGTCACATAGCTTTACAATTTGAAATTATCCTTGTCTCTGAAATTCAGTTTACTCTGATTGTATGGTTTCTCTGTGGCTGTAATCACTGTAAGTACAGTCACAGATCTCTAGAACTGCCAAGGTAAGATTTCTTGTTGCATGTGGGTCTTCTCAATTATTACTTGTAATGAAAATCAAAACTACTCAAGATCCAGTTTAAAAACTGTGCTTACTAGAAAGATTAAAAGCTGCACGAGAGCTAACAGCATGTTTCTCATTATCTTTTTTTTCCCCCCACAGGACATTTTTTTAAGGAAGACTACAAATCTTGGAATGGAATCTCTTCTCAGCAGAAACCTGCTGCTCAGTAAACTAATAGGAAATCAATAACCATGTGAAATGTATCTTTATTGACTGACCTGTAAATTAAACTAGAGACATCAGATTCTTCAGATAACTTGAATAATTTATTATCATTCTATAGACATACAGCAGAACTTTTTTTGCATGATGATTTAAAAGAACTGCTGACCAGCATAGTTCAGACTGTGAGCGCTCAATCTCTTTTTGCTATTTTGAGGGGCCAAATTTTGCAAATCATCTTTCAGTTTTCCTGGAAATAGATTCGAAAATGACAAATGAAGATAGAACACAGATGTCTGTTCCCACATGCAACACTTGTGAATACACATTCATGGGCCAGTTTGGGTGTGAAAATAATTATATTTTTACTTCCTAGATAGTGATTTTCATGGGAAAATGAGAAAGTGCCCAGGTAACTTCTGTTCTCATATTCTTGTAGCTCTCTTAATATCCTTTTTTGTGTCTCAGTTGTGAGGATTTTTTCCCCATAACAACCCTGCTGGTAAAAGAACTGGGAATACCAGGAATGTAAGCATTATAATCAAATAATTTTGGTTGTGTTGCTCATACAGTATGGAGGATCTTCTGCACCAGCAGAATAAATAACTAGCAAGCAGCTCAGATGAAATCATTATGTGCAGTCACATCCATACTCCCAAGAATTTGTATTGTTGGCAAAAATTCCTCCCTCATATAGTCATGGGTGGGAAATTTGGGTGTGATTCAGAGTCTGCTGTTTTGTACTTTGTTCTCAGTGAGCCTATACATGTGACTAAACTGTGCAGGAAGCCACCAAGTGTAACTTTCTGCTCTTGGTGACTCTGTGCCTTAGATTTGAGTAAATTCCTCAAGACCATTAAATTGATGTTTTGCTAGTGCTTGGTTTCGAATATTGTTACAGTTGTAGACTTAGTAAATATATTACATAGACACCTCGTAAGATATGTCATGGTCGTTTTCCTTTCTTGCACCTGCCAGTTTGTGCTTTGTTTTCCATGTTGTGTTTAGATTTTTCTCACCTGTTCTACTGAGAGACAGTTCAGTTCATTGGCATATCATTTTCCCACTGAAGTCTTGCCTTTCCAAGGTTTGGAGCCCTCCTCCATCATATGAAAATAACAATTAAATTCATGAGAACTCTCTACTTACATGCAGATGCTTACTTATGTTGACTTGATTTACAGTATTCTTCCAGTATGCCAATTAATGTGTGTGGCAGGGTATAAATGTTAGAATATTTAAAATGTTGAACTCGTACAGCTAATCCAGAAATAAAATTGCATTTGCCAAATGGAAGAAGTCTATTTTCCTATTTGTCCCTGGGTTTGTACATCACAGTAATAGTTAATCTGCTAAAGTACACAGACTTGTGAATTTTTCTTCAATTACAGGCCCACTTGGAAGAGATTGCCACCCTTGTGGAACTTGTAATTCACTCTGCACAGGAGGGAATTTTCCCTTGGCTGAGCTGCAGTAATCTTTTACAAAGTTTTTTGGGGGCAAATCTGGTCATTTGACAGCTGGCAAGCCACCACAGTTCCTACAGTGTATTTTTTTGCTAGGTCTTAGCATGCATCTACCCAGGCCTATAGACTTCCTAACTACAAAGTAATCTAAATGCTGAATGCATCAAGATCAGCACCAGAAGGAAATTGCAGCAGGATGTACTTCTCCTGCTGCTTTGGTTCCCAGTTGCCTACATACTGCAGCCATCTGGACCGCATGACAATGCATCAGGGAGATGAGAGGTGCTATCCAATGCTCTCCCAAGGGCTGCTTGGATGTTTGTACCAGCAAAGAGAGAGCCACAGTAATGCACCAGTAAAGAACTTCAGTGCTTGATTGTGCAAAGCACTGTCTCAGCACACTAAGAAACATAACAAAACTTAGAGGTTAGATATTAGAAATATTTCTGTTGGTGTTATTTTTTCAGAGACAGAAGGAGCACAGAAGACTGAGCTGGGAAATCTGTGGGAGTACCAGCAGTTGAGTTGTAGCCTTGCTTCTTCATCACAGAACTATGTTTCTTCTCCCCATCTCTTCTCCCCATCTACCCTGTTAACTTGATTTTCTTGGATACAGCTTAAAATGCATGAGGCAGTTGAGGAAATAGTTCCTGCTCAATATTCCAGGTATGTTAAGAAAGTGTTGCTTTGAGAGTTTAACCTGTGTTGCTTTAGGCAATATAAGTATTTAGTGTCAGGAGAAAAGAGCCTGTCACTTCTGAAATCTTAAAATGGTCTTAAGCCATTAGCCAGGTAGTTTTTTACTGTATTTCTGACTTTCAGTGCCCTAGAACTGCATCCTATCTTTCATTTGCCAGCTAGCTCAAGGGGTTGGAAAATGCTACAAGAAAATAGATATTTTTAGGCAACTTCTCTTTCAGTTATTTTGATGTGTGTGAGCAGTGTCCCAGCTGTAAGTAATTTAAACAGGAGTGCCCATTTTGAGTTGGGGCTGCATTGTTCTTTGGTGGCTGTCAGTCATTACATGTGCTTGTGCCTCATCCCTGTTCAAAAAGACCAGCTTTGAAAAGGTAACAGTAAGAGTAAATGGGACTTTCTCTTGCTCAGCCAATGCTGTTTCCTTTGGGAGTATGGAAACTGTGACCTGCTGCACAAAGCAGGAAGAAGTCCAAGTACTTCACTGACAGTATCACAAATGCTTCAAACCACTTTTAAGAGAAGATGTTTTTTTGTTTTTCATTTGCTGTAATCTCAGAGGGGATGTGTGTAGTTTCTCAGAGCTGTTTGTTTGGTTAAGACCGCCAAACCGCACTATCTCTCTCTATGGGATAATAACCCAGAGGAAGACTTTCTCAGAACTGTTAACAACCATTCTTATTCTCTCAGGAATTTCTTGGCCACATTTTCTTTAGCAACCCCCTCACAGCTGCTGAACTGGAGCATGAATTACACTAGAGACTTGTGACTCTCACATTGCTCTGTGAGCCTGTGCGTGCCTGTGTGCAGGCAAAAAATGTGAGACCCTATGGATCAGAACCATGGCATGCATTACAGGATAGGAAATACCATGGTTTATTACTCATATGAAGATTAGCACAGGGAGGTCTTTGATCTATTTATCACTGCCATTCTGCTAATTCATAGTTTTGTTACTATTTATTATTTGGCCATGGCATCTTTTAGAAATCATGTATACATTTCAGAGAAGCTAGGTTTTTTTAAAAAATTCTCTATTCACAAACAAATGTACAACATAAGGAGGGGTGTATGCATGGATATACACCAGTAAGGTTTTTTTTAAATCAACTTTATCTGAGGAGCACACATGTACAAATAATCTTAGCACTTCACAAATATGAGACATAACCTCTGAATATATATAATTTGTTGTAATTCCTCACACCATAAAAAGAAGAGTGAAACATCGTGGTTTTGTGTCAAAGGATGCCTATCAGGTTGTAAGGAGCTTGATATGCAATAGTTGATGAATGTCCTTGCGTTTGCTTCAGCTGTTCGTTGACCCTGATAAAGTGTGGTCAGATTTTGGGGAGCTGCTGTGGAATTCTTAGCCATCTTTCACCACAGAAAAAATCCCCCTGGGATCTCTGTTGATATGAACAGACACCTTTAAGCCATCTAAGGACCAGGTCTAGTGTAGGAAAGCCAGTGTCTTAAATGTAACTATGTGACCCTTAGGATTATAAATCAGTGCATCTCTTGTAGTCAAGCAATGATAAGCTAATAAGTGCTTGATCCTCATACTGAGTTTGACCTTCAGTGTTTTTCTGCTGCCAATTTTATCTTTTGCCATTGGCCTTGATCTCATGAGGGTTCTGCTTTTATGACTGATGGAAATTTCTGGAACAGATTTGAAAATTGTTTTTCTGCAGGCTTGAGCACTGAGGTGGTTCCAGGTGGGCCATTCACAGATCATGCAAACTTTTTTAAGGACTTTGACTAGGATGCTTGCTTTCCTTCTTCCTAGGGAAGGCATCCAAAGGTGGGCCTCTGCTGGAATTCTTCTTTCTCTATCACTAGGTTCACATTTGATGTATTATTAAAGGACACAGATAATAGCACAACACTTTGGTGAAATTCAGGGTCTACTTATATTTACAGCAAGGTAACTTGGACTACTTTTGGTCTCTGCTGAAATCATCTAGGATGAAAGAGGAAGCGGAGACAGACATAGGAAAAGCCATCTATAAAA